CCATATCGGGAAGTTCGTATCGGAAGTTCGTACTGGGAAGTTCGTATCGGGCAGTCCTTGGCTCAGGAGATAACAATGTTGGCATTACATGGCTTCGACGTGTATGGTCTGGAGATATCTGCGGCCGGAGTGTCCTCTGCCCAGAGTTACGCGTGTAATGAACTGCAAAAGCCGCAGAAATACAATTTCGGGGAACGGAAGAGCGGTTCAACAGCTCCAGGTAGTGTCACTTTCATTCAAGGTGATTTTTTCAAGTCAGATTGGGAACACAAAGCACTGGAAGGGGGAGAAATTCAGTTTGATCTAATCTATGATTATACGGTCAGTACCTGAATATCGCTTTTTCTGAGATAAACGGAACCTGACTTCGCACAGTTTCTCTGCGCCCTGCATCTCGATATGCGCCAGCAATGGTCTAAGCGCATGGAGGGGCTTATACGGTGTGATGGCTATTTGGTTTGTCTTGAGTTCCCGTTATACAAGGATAAAGCGCTTCCTGGTCCCCCCTGGGGCTTACAGGGCGTACACTGGGATCTACTAGCGCGAGGTGGCAATGGTATTGACAATATCGATATGGCACCCGAAATCACACAGGAGTGCCAGCTTGGCGGTCAGTTCAAGAGGGTACTGTATATAAAGCCGGCTCGCTCGTATGAGAGTGGGCAAGGGACAGACATGCTGAGTGTTTACGCACTGAAGTAGCCAACGCATGGCTGATTGTACCTAGTGGGGCTAGAACTTTGAAAGACTACTCTAGTCGAACATACGTAGCAATAACATATCCTGTTTAAGATTAGCATTTTGACCATAATTGGGAATATTGTCCTAGATACTGGATATATCGGTTTTAGGAGACCACCTGGGTATCAGTAGGTTAACCAATTGCCTCAGTAACTATATTATACTACTTTCCAGCAGAATAACAGGGCCCTCTTCTTCCAAATAGTTCTATGATGTGTGTCACGGTGCTTGACCGCTCGTACACGTTGTTACCTCCTGAAATCAGGGAACTTTCCGGATTGTCACTTCCTGAGCCAAGGAACTTCCCGGTATAGAGAAACCTTCCTGGACGCATTCCTGCCTGAGGCGGAGCCTCGGGCAGTACATAGAGGCCCTAGATCCTCGCTCCTAGATAGCCTTTCCTCTCTCCATGGGAAAATTCCTTGACTACGAGTCATAATAAACAAACTTGTTTTTTTCTAAGCTCCTTTGTAGACCGCCACACACGTGACTACTGTTTGTTTACACTCCATGTTGAATTCTACTGCTCCGCACGAATTTTCGAACTGTTCGAAGTTCGCGAATTTCAACGAATCGAATCGAATTCGAACCTTAGATTTTGGGCTTCGAATCTATGGGCGATTCGATTCGTCAAAATTCGCGAATTTGAACAGGTTCGCGAACTAATATCTAGTATTCAAGTAGGGATTGCTCATGCGGATAGCTATAACCTCAATAACCCTGGCCACTGCATCCATTGGATTCGCACAAAGAGTGTTCTAGGTACAGTTCATAAATTTTATTCTACGCTATAAAAACTATAACTATTAAACTATTCAGACTTCTAACGTTCAGCATCTTTCAGCCTTAATAATGTCCCAAAAGTCTTGCCTTTTATAGAGAAACGTCAAATTCCCAGTATATCTCTCCTATTATTAAATAATCTCTTGATATCTACCTCTGCTGCTGGTATAGCAAGATGATCTTAGGCTACCTTAGTTATAAAGTAAATTTAAGTCTGTTAGCCTTTTACCAGTTCAGTATAAACTCATTTTGGTTTTAGTTTCTTTCGAAACCAGTGCTGATTGTAGGAGTATCAAAATATTGGTCAATATCAGATTCAGTAACGTTATACTGTATAGACTGAAAGGTTTCTAGAAATCGATATTTGAAGCTCTTCCAATTAGTGCTTAGAGTAGTCAATACAGGCTGTTTTAAGATAAGATATATTTTCTTTAGGAATGCCTTGATTTAGCTAATAATCTTCTCTCTATCTAGTAGCATTTTGAGTTACTTAGTCTTGATTCGAGCGTCCGGAACGTTTGCAATATAGTATTTAACTATAGATAGTCAGGTACTGCCTGACTTGGTTTACTGCCTTCCCAATGAGGATTTTATACAAAAAGTTCGCGAACATCGAATCGAATTCGAATTGGTCATAAATTCGAATTCGTACGAATCGATATTTTCAATAGTAATTCGAATCGAATCGAATCAGGCAAAAGTTCGATTCGATTCGATTCGTGCGGAGCGGTATTGAATTCTGCCCTGTTATAGCATTTCGAGATACGTCTTGTCTATAGTTGAGATAGCCTAACTGCAGTAGTTGTTGTCAATTCCTAATATATCCTGTTCCTAGGCCTGCACCCTGACAATGTTTGGGTATGCAGGGAACCAAAGCTAGGGCATAAGCATGCCATCGAGCTGCTTGACACCCTCCAAAGGCTTCAGATAGGCGACGCGACGCTTAGTATACACTTCATAATCGATTTCCCCTCCCAAATCAGGATCGTCCAGAGAACCTGCCTTAATCGAGAGCTTGTCAGGCATTAGATCAGGCTCGCCGTAGATGCCAGATCCACAGGTACCACAGAAGAACGTATGATAGGTCTTGGTGGAGTCCGCAGTGTAAGGGTATGTTTTAGGTTCACCTCCATTGAAATATATTTGTCAGATGATCGGCCTTCGCACAAGTCAATCTCAAGAGCTTACCTTTGACCAGTTTGAACGATTCCCGAGGAATGATCACATTGGTGGTGGATGATCCTCCAGTCCACTGCATAACTATTAGGTCTCCCGAAAAGCTTGCATTCGCCCATATAGACATACTCTCTGGCAGTTGCGGCAATGGCAAACGGCTTTGACATCAGGCTTATTGACTATATCTCAAGGTCAGAATCCGCGAAGGAAGCATGGTGAGATTAAACAAGGCGACCAGCTTTTCATACCATCAGCCTGGTACCGAATGGCACCACACATGCAGCTTCCAGTGAGAACCATGGTGATGATGAGGACCTTGGAGGAATTGATTGATTAATTTCACGGATCTAACCGAACTGATTAATTGAACGATTGACACCTTGAAGGGGAAACTTCACCAGGCTTTATATAGGTTCAGGTCGGTAGCTAGAGCAGCGATAATTGCGGGTTATTTCTAATCAGGCTGCGAAACACGATTCTAGAGGCATGTTCTCGGTGATTGATCTCGGTGATTGATCTCGGACATACCATTGTCACCCCAAGAGCGGATCAGAATTGGGTTTCCCTGAAACTGCCGGTTGGGTTCCACCCTCGGATAGGACGAAAAGCCTAATGATATTTCCCAGTTGCCATGACGTTTTATACTTGTAAGCAGCCACTATTTTGTAGAATAGTCTAGGTTAAGATTATTTCTTGGGAAATACTGAATATTTTTGAACGTATCTTGCCTTTTTTTACCCGGAGTCACTATAGCTCAGCATTTTGAAAAAGTGAGACAGCAAATTGGGAATGCGGACTGTAAAGAAAGATATGAAGAGAGAAGGAAGAAAGAGTGAAGACGGCCTCAAGATAGGGACCGAGGATGAAAAGAGTGCGAGGCTTCTAGAAGGACCGGCGAAGAACTTTCTTGCTGCCTCACAGAATTGTAGCATACACGTTGAGTATTTATAGAGCTCCAATTAAGGCTTTAATAGCTAAAGATACACATTGTATCCGCACTAGGGAGGGGAGAAAAACAATATTGTGAAATATTGCGTAATGACTTAGGGTATCAGGCTGAATTCTGTATAATGAATTCTGAGGCGGGTCTTCCAACATGCGTACTACATGCCCCACACGTCTAACTAGTCCTATTTCTAGGTCGGCCGAAGTGCAGCCAGCTCAGCTGGTTGTGATACTGACTTCTGGCAGCAGATGGTAGGTAACTTTTACTACATTGGATCTCTGTGTGAGCTTCGCAACAACCAGCCGTTCGCTTAAGGAAGCCACGATATACACGATATTGTTGAATGCAATGATAAGATTTCTTTGCAATCGATATCAGGAGGCAGATGGGTCACTTAAGCTTCAAGCACTGCTGTCTTTTCTCCCTCTCCCATGAATCGTGCGCCGTCGCAATGACTCAAAGTCTACCCATCCTGTGGCAGTCACCGTGACCGCCTATATGCGTATTCGAGTGGAGGGCTCAGCTCAACTTCCGGGGGCTCCCTTACCGAACTTCTATTTGTACTTTAGCTCACTTCTGAAACACGATACCTAGTATCAAATGTTGACCCTTCAGGGTCATTTTAGAATGCCTCGAATTTGAAAAGCCCAAATTCAGAGATTCACCAAGCCCGCGTGGGGATATCATTGATAGACCGTTAGAGATAGAGCTAGGGGCCCAGAGCCTTGATGCTTGTTCCATTCTATGGAGTAATATCCATACGGTATCAAAAGACGGAGCGGTAACGTACCGCGAGCAAGTGGGAAATGTCGAGCAGTTATAGCCACTGAGTATGAACCATCGTTTGTGTATTCTTTTACCTATCCAGAGTATAATTGTTCATCGTCCCTCTCAATAGCAGCTATATTAGTGTAAGCGTCCCGCATTCGTTGTGTTTGACGTTATCCTCGGCAGTGATGCACTTTCTATTCTTTCGCTAGACCCTCCTATATTACTCCGTTTCAAAGGCATCAAGATCTCTGCTCGTATAGTCTACTATTATACACATGTTGATCTTCAATCATATTAGGAGTTGGGGCACTCATGCCCCAGTTGTCAATCAATCAATCAATCAATCAAAATTCTATTAACCTGATGAAGCCTATCTATTGAAACGACAGGCTATGCAG